GCCACCTGTACAAACGGCCACTTTCCATTTCCCCCAAGCCTTGCGTTTTTTCTATCGCAGGCTAGGTTCACGGCGCCGTGAATGTAGTTGGCAAGCTACGTTCACGGCGCCCTGAATGCAGTTTGCAGGCGCTGTTGAGGCTACGTTCACGGCACTCAAGCTTTGTTTAGATGGAGCGTCCACTGCTGGTTTTAGTCAGTGACTACAGTGACGTGTATATTTAATATTTTGGCCAGCTTCAAATGTTCTCTCTCTCTCTCTCTCTCTCTCTCTCTCTCTCCCTCTCTTTAAACTAATAACTCAGCTGTCTAAAACAGCATCCAGTGAAGAATAAAATAATAATGTTGCCACAGGCACTTTCGAGGACACACTTTTCTAGTATTTCAACATCCCAAATGGAGAAGTGAACTTTCTTCAAAAGTACTAGGCCTATATAAGCCTTGTCATCGTACAAGGAGACGTGTGTTATCATTTCACATCGCTTTAAATTTAGCGCACTTTCTGATGACGAAATCTCAACTCATATTTTAATATGCGCTCTTCACTCTTTCACTACTTTCATAGTTTGTGCAAGGGACCACGAAACGGAAGAGGAATTCAGGAAATAAGCAATGGCTGCCAATAAACACTTCATGGATACATTTCCACAATTACCTGGATGGACCATCGAAATAAATAGAAGAGATTTCTAGATCTAGTATTTATTTCAATCAGATTGGATGATATTGATTTTTTTTAAAAACCCTCACAGTTCTATTTTGTACCTCATTGAGTAAAATTGAGAAAAATCTCTTTCCAAGAAAAACAACAATTTCAATGCTTGATAGTTGATCTAGAATCTAAATCTAATCTAGATCCTAGATCTAATTGTGGAGAAGTCATTTCACTACTGGCTCCGGGACTGCATGATAATGTAATCTAGTTTTCTTCTTGGACACAAGGGGAAGAATAAAGAGAAGGGCAATCTAGATATAGTTTCATAGTAAGTTAACTCCCTTGCCATCAAAAGTGTGAGCAATTTTCGTTCCTGATACTGCAAGAGGAAAGCACTGCCGTAATAATAAGCTAAACAATGTGTTTTATGCGATAGCTGAGATATTTCCACCTTGCAGAGGCTGAAATTAGAACTGTTTCCCATTTTTGCCGCAGATTGTTTATTGTTCAGGATGGATCGTGTTAGATTTATTTCTATTCACTACTATTCGGTGTCCATCTTGATGACATTTACTTCTATGGTGGGCTCATCTTCTTGCCCGCCGGGTTACCTTCCCCCCGACTGTAGCACGAGATGCCCGCCAGGTGTGTACGGCCCCAGCTGCGCCTCTGTCTGCTCCAGCAGTTGCGTGAACCGGGAGTGCGACTGGCTGTCCGGAGACTGCCACAAATGTCGGCCAGGCTTCAGAGGGAGGAAGTGTCTAAGCAGGTGTGGACCTGGCTACTACGGGGACGGTTGTGGGAAACGTTGCTCTCCTCGCTGTCTGAGAAACAGCTGCGACCCTCACACGGGATACTGCAACGGATGTGCTCCTGGGTACCGAGGCAGCAAGTGTGAGATCGTGCTTCTCAACGTCCCGACTCCTGGACCTTTTCACCGTGAGGGAGGTCGGTCTGGAGGTGGCGCGTTTGGCAGGAACGGAAGGAGGGGTTCCCCAATGGATGAGAAACAATACACTGTGGCGTATATTCTTTTGTTATCGCTGGCGTTTCTAGGCCCTGGGATAATGATTCCGCTAGCCGTGTATTTCCTGAAGTGGAAAATGAAACACATGGAGCGGGCAAAAACAAAGAACGTTTCTCGCAAAAAGACCAACCCTGTTTATAAGAATAACCAACGAACACTGCCGGGGCACACATTTTTGTCAAAAGCTAGGAATGGTCGACTTAAGCCCTCAATCAACGAGTCCGAAATCTTTAAATCCGATAATCAGAAACTGACTGACCGAAAAAGGTACTTGGGTCCTTTGGAAAAGAACAAAGTAAAAGCTTTCTTTGGAGCAACAGGACTCGCAAGCAGTGTCCAAGAATTAGACAGGCCGTCCAAAACTTCGAAGGGTCAGGATTTAGAGAAAGGTGCATCACAAATCGTTTCCTCAGCAAATGACGAGGGGGGTGATCTTATGCACAATGATGTAAACGTTCCCAAAGATGAAATGTTGGGATCTCCTACACGGTATCATTTTCTGACGCAACAGACATCAGTCACCTTGGAAACTGCTCAAATTTTCTCCAGGAATCTTTTCTTGGAAACACGGCAAGACTCTAGTAGTGACACTTCCCGTGGTGGAGGTGGTGTTGGTGGTGGTGATGATGGTGATGGTGGTGGTGGTGATGGTGGTAGTGAAGGTAGTAATAGTGGTGGTGGAAGCAATAATAGTGGTGGTAGTGGTAGTGATGTAGGTGGTGATGATAGTAGTGAGAATGAGCAGGATAGTGATGTCAATATAGAGACCTACAACGGTGACAAAATTTCACAACATCGGTTTCACCCACCCATCCCTGATAAAGAATCACCGAATCATACCCACATTAGTCGCTGGAGCGACTTGGATACGGCAGAGGTTCGACACCCACAGGCTGAGAAAAAGCAGAAGCATCGTTTCGGTTTTAGACGACTAGCCCAACCTTTTATCTCCCTGCAGGTAAACAGTTTGTGGTAGTTGTTTGTTCTTTTGTATATTTCTACAACGCCTCCTATTTGATTGGACTCAAGGTGCTTTATATAATAATGAAATCAATCATTCAAGCGACGCTCATGCTCATGAAATTATACACATTTAGTCTATTTTATATGCAAGCAGTCTCTCTCTCTCTCTCTCTCTCTCTCTCTCTCTCTCTCTCTCTCTCTCTCTCTCTCTCTCTCTGTGTGCCTCCTTTTGCCCTCTAATTTTACAGAGCAAGCTCTTCCAAGCCTTACGTTTGATTCCAGTTTCCCAGGATCTCCATCTCCATTAATTGCCAGTCTACACAACCCAACAATGAGCAATAATATCGAACGTTTATAATAGTACCTCGAGAAAAGAGCGATCTTGGTTTGCATCTTTAAAGAAGCATTGTTATTACGTTATGATTTGAAGCAACTCTTTTTTAAATATACAATATGGGGTGCCCACTACGGATGGGATCGGCCGATGGAACTCAGTCGCCTAAAAAACAAACGAGTTTGCTTTCAGTTTCAGACGACCGAGTCGGGCGATCGGCGCGATCCAGCGTAATGGGCTCCCCATATTATTCAGCTATTTTTTCTCTCTCTGTCTCGATATGTATATATCTCTATCTGGCTACATTCTCCAGCCCTACATCTTTATAAAGCTCTCAGATCAATGACTTACATCTATAATCCTTGAATCTCTATCTGTAACAGTTATTTGTCATACTAAGTGCGCACGTATTACACTATTGGGCACTATCACGAACTTCTTCCCTTCAAATCAGATGACGTCAACCTTATATCAGAGACACATATATAATTAAATACTCTCTGCTTATATACATGGGCAAGGGATTAAAAAAAGAGAGAGAAAAAAACTCTCTTGGTATAATTCAGCAACTCTTTCCATTAAAAAAAAGAGGATGAAAAATGATATTATGATAATGTGAAATTCATTTCTTTTGGGAAAAGATTTTTTTTTTTACATTGCTACAAAATCAAAATTTCTCGAGTCCGTGTTGTTCAAGTCTAGATCACTTAGCTAAAATGAGCAGTCATGATATATAAGTAAGTATGTGTGCATATATATCTCCAGTCTGTGGGAGAGCCACTGGGAAAACCAGAAAAATAATAAACTATATGAAATAAAACCCAAACTAGAACAGCGAAATCCCT